CAAGGATGGTGAAGCTGCAAGCAGAAAGGTGACACTACAGGAAAAAAATTAAGTGTCCAAATAAAGACAAAATTCTGTCAGTCGTATTCCTTGGCAAATAGCATTATTTGTAAGCCTGGCTAAGAGCAAACCCTCTCTGGGATCAGCACTGTGTACAAAGTGATGTTTTCCTAATGCTAGAGGTATAAGAAAGGAGAGCAGCACTGTAACAATTAATTGTCACAAGGGAAACGAATCCAAATGAGGACTGGGATATAGAGTTTGCTACCCCCAGCCCATCCTTTAGACCCAGCTCCACTTCTTTAGCAGTCAAAAACTCTGAGTACACCTGTTTTGACAGAAAACATGCTGGCAAAGCACAGTGTGCCCACAGTGCTCCCAGCAAACAAGAGCAATGTGGGAGCATTTGCTGTGTGAGCTCTGTCCTGGTAACGGCTGGCAGAATCCTTCAAAGGTAACCAGCTCCACAAAATACAGCTGCCAAGATGGAGCTGTAGAAGATATGGAATTTTGGGCTAGAGAAGCATTTCTCATGGTGAACATCTGCTCTTACCCCTCTCTTGCAAAGTGAATTTAATTAAGACAATCTCAAGTAACAGAGGATACAAGAGCAGGTAAAAAACCTCCAAATGCTTATTTTACTTACCCAGAAGAACAAGGAGGAACAAAAATAAGCTTTTTTTTTTTTTGCTTGTTATCCTAACACATTTTAAAGGACAAAAAGAAGCTCTAAGAGCATTTCCCATTAAAAGTAGTAAAGGGGAAAGTTAAAATTTTTGAAAACACGTGAAGTAATCACTAAATCTACTACTCACCATGTATAACTAGCTACAAAACTATTTACCTAGACAGATACATGATAGTTTTCATCCCTATGTAGTTCCACAAACCAATTGCTTATCTGAAGAGTGCTTGAAGTTTTCACCTATTCAGATGCTAACCAGTACAGCAGGAATTATAATTCCTTATTCCTGCATAAGGTTGTGATTTCATTCTCAAATGCTCTATGCTGGAATACTTCAATGTCCCATTTTTAAAGCAAAATCTTCCCTTTCCATCATCAGCAGCTCCAAGAGACTACAGTAGGCAGACCAAAACAAATGAGCCTGCTAGAGACAGTCACAACTGTGTGTTTTGTAACTGAACTTCTGCTGATGATCACTAAGTCTTTCTCTTTGAGCAGTCTTGCCAAAGTCTATAGGGACTCACCCCTCACTGCAGCCAACTGTGTGACAACATCAAATTGATTCTCTTGCTTTTACAGCACCAAGAGGATCAACTCCACTGCCTCTGGGATCTCTCCTTGCCCAGGGAAGGCTTTGTGCTCAGCATTTGCCTTTACTCTAGAAGCCCAACGCTGTTGTTGGGAAATAACACGTCCCAGAAGCGTTTTATGAAAGATGATTTGGCAGTTGTTGACGAAGTCTCCGAAGGCTCCAGGCAATAAGTACCAAGCACCTTGCTCCTAGCACACACAGCACTAGAGATAACCTTTTCCAGATAAGCTCTGGGATGCTCCAGCTGCCGTGGCTGTCACTCAGGGCCGAGAGGAGGGGTTGGGTTTGGCCGGGAGCCGGCGGTGCCGAGCGCAGGGGACCGTCCCCCTCTAGCGGCACACGGCCGGGGACGCGGCTCTGCCCGGCGGCACTCGGGGCTGAGCTCACCGGGAGCGCCGAGGGACCACCAGAACAACAGCTAAAGTACCAAATGCACTTTAATGAGTTCCAGATTCTGTTCCCAGAAGGAATTTATACCGTGTCAGTACATTAGCCAGGTACATGATTTCTCCTGAACTACAGGCATGAGGAGAACCGACTATGACATACTAGGTATCTAAGGTTACTCTTAGAAACCAGTTTCCCACATTAGAAATAAGGCAGGTTTCAGGCATGCATGCAGCTGACTTATCCAGTCCTCAGATGCCATATTTGCCCTTTAGTTCTTCCACTTTTGCTATGTAAGCTTTCATTGCATCTTCTTTGGATGTTCCTGAAGGACAGAACACAGGAAGCAGTCAGATACCTTCCACAGATTACGAATTACCTCAAGAATTTACAAGTTACAATTCCTTGCTCTAGTTTGTGCCACTGGAGAGCAAAGGAGCCAGGAAGGTCACTTGGCTGTGAATCCACTGCTAAAGATTTAAACAAATGTGTTTTATCAGTCATGAAACACAGTGCTTCCAAGGAAAGTTGTTTTTGCACAGACAGCAACTAACCAGTGTATTAGTTCTATTAATGCCATTGACAATTATTACAGGAAAGCTATTCCTTAATACACCAGAAAAAGCCCCATTGTCACAGATCAGACCACTTGTTTGGCTCCTCAGTTAGAGCTGGGAGCTCAGTTGTGTCTTGCAAAGCTTTCCTAACTAGAAGATGCATAACAGCTGGAGGGAGAGCTCAGTCTCTGGGGTACCAGGCTGGGACCAGGAAAACAACTTTAGATTTCTGCTGCTGTTATTGTTCTTCTTTATTTAACATCTTAGGCCAGCTGGGCATTTTGCACCCTAATTCCCTTTCACACAGGCCATATTTTTCAGGATTACTTCTGCCTTGCAGAGGTAATTAAAATTTATTATCATGGCATTCTGAAATTCTAGAACTCTTGCATTAAAAGGCAACACAATTGTGTTTCCTGCTGAACTACATGTGTCTTTCTGACTAATTTGCCAGGTGTAATTTCATTAATTCCTTTAATCAGACACTTACCTTTCAATGCACTCCAGGCATCCCACTTTGCTTTGCCTTTGAAGTCCAGCATACCAGGGCGCTCTGAGAAAGGCAGGAGGAGCAGCAGCATTAGTTTGTGTGATCTGGCTGTGGGTAATACCCACTTGAAGGCTTAGCTGGCTCTTAGCTGTGACTAAATACAATGGCTCCTCTCGGCAGCTGCTCCTTGCTATCCTTGCTAACCCGTAGCCAGGAGATCACCTCAGGGGAATATGTTACAACATCGTTGGTGACGACAGAAATAGGCTCTTTCAAAGTCCCTTGAGACAGCAGCATTTGAGCAGAAGAGCACCAACTGCTGTCATTTGGTTTAGTTGCACTTTCTGAAGAGCCTGCTGTCACATAAGAGCTGTCCAATTAAAGAACACCAGCTCTAAAGTAAAGCAGAAACACCCTGAGGTCCATTATAGGCAGAGACAGAAACAGGCAGCTGTTTGTAGTAACACCAGCTTGGAACTCATTATCGTCAGGTTAGTGGTGTATTTCTAACCTACAGTTGTGCAATTGAAAACCTTGGAAATTTAACTCGCTTCATTGCAGGCTGTGGTGTGGCCAAGCAGAAAGTGAATGACGTGTATATGGTTAATCTTGGTGTAAAGTCCTCTTTGTGGCTTTACTTCCTCTCTCTCTCTCCCCCCTTAAAGATAATTCTTAGAGCTCACAAATGGCACTGGGCAGCGCTCACAAAGAGCCTTGTGCAGCTCCCATGGCACAGTGACCTGTGGCTCCAGTTGGCAGCTCCCCTTGTCTGCAGCACAAACCCCAGCAGCCCCCCTCCCACAGGCTCCTGCTCGGGCCAGCTCACGCTGGCTGCTGCTCCACAGGCGTGCAGACACTCGCAGGAACAGGGGCACGTCCCCAGCACTGCTTCACCCTGGCAATAGTGCTGGTGTCCAGCCACGCCGAAATGACCACATCTTAAACCCAAAGTAAATTATTTTCTCCCTCATGCTGCCAGCTTTGGGAAAAGGAGATTAAATTACTTACCATTTCCTGTACACTTCGCTGCCAGCTTTTAAATCAATGGACACTCAATAAACTTTGCCAGCTACTGGGTTAGGAGGCCAGCACTCCAAAGAAATGACCTTTTCCCTTTCTAATTCTAGCTACTCCAGCCTTACACAAGGTCGATAGAGACACGCTCCACTTTAAATTTAATTCCAAAAGCTGAGCTGCCATGGACAGCATTGTAGCAAGAGAAGTAGGCAGAAACATTCTGCACTGTGTACCTAAAGACAAAATTTTGGTACAATCTTTCTGAAGTATATTTAATTGCAGCTTATACAAAAGTTTTCTCCTATTCTTCTGGTTTTGCTTTCCAGTACTATTTTTAGCAGCCAATCCCGTCTAAATAAACTCAAATGTGTCATCCCCTCCAGTATTGCAATTCCACCCTTGTATTGCAATTCCACCCTTGTATCTCTCGTCTTGCTGTTTAAATCTGTATAACCGAGAAGGGCTTGCATTAAAGCAGCACCCTCGGCCTGAGCAGCTACACACTGAAACAGAGCTCTCCAAAAAACCCAATGCCAATATTTGCACAAAGCATCCTCAGTGCCTCACTGCACGGAGCAGACGGCGACAGCAGGGTTAATCTAAAAGCCCCGAATTGCACAAAGCCTTATCGGGTCAGCCCGTGCCCTCCGCACACAATCCCTGCCAAGGCGGCTCCCAGGCACTTTCGCTGCGCCGCGGGGCTGAGGGAAGCGCAGGGAGGGAGATGTTTTGCCTCCCGGCCGGTGCCTACCTGTGTTCACGTCGCCCACCGTGGCCTGTTTGTAGTGGCTGTAGATGTCCAGCATCTCCTGGTCCGTGGGCTGCGACTTCAGCTGCTTCACCTCCTCGGCAGCCTTCTGGAACGCGGCCTGGGGGGAAGGCGGCAGGGGGTGAGTGAGGGGAAGGGTCGCGGAGCCCCCCGGCCGCCCCCGGTTCCCCCCGGCCCCGGCGCCCCCCGCACCTCGCTCATCGCGCCCAACCCGCCCGGCCCCGGTCCCGCCGCGTCTGCCCCGCCACCCCCGCCGCGCGCCCGCCTCACCCCTCGCCAGACCGGCCGCTGGCCAATCGCAGCGCCGCGGGCCCCGCGGGCACCAATCAGCGCGGGCCAGGGACGGGCAAGGAGCCAATGCGGAGGCGGCACGGGTGTCTCCCGTTCAGCAGCGCGTAAGAAGACAAAGGCGGCGCGAGGGGCGGGGCAGAGCCCTCTCAGCCAATCGCGCGTCTCAGGGCTGCCGCCGAAAGGACGCGATTGGCGGAGCGGGTGGGCGGGGCGGGACCCGGAAGTGGCGGCGGAGAGCGGTAACGGGCCCGGTGGGGCGGGCGGTGCCGGTGCGGCCGGACCGGGCCGCGCTGGGGCGGGCGGCGGTGCCGGGGTTGCTGCGGGTCCGGGAGGTCCCTCTGTCCCAGAGGAATGCGCCACCAGCGCCTCCCACCTGCCTGCTTGTCCCCTGAGGCGCGGGGTAGTGCACGGTCCCAACCCTACGTGCGATCGGTTTGAGTAGAAACGTGAAAATTGGCGATTTGTGATTGAACTCCCCATTCTGTGTTCCCACAGGGTTCCTCCATGCTGCTTAGGAGCAAGTGAGTTGAATGCTGTGCCCTTTACTGCACCCCGCAAATCACCAGCCCATGTGGAATAGCACCAAGAAAACCTCCATCTTTGCTGTTTAGTATAAATCGAGTTATTTCCAGGTGCAAAATTGATTGTTTATTGATTATTTGTGTGGTGTGTGACACACACTCATTTAAAATGGAATTGGAACTCGGGGTTATTAGCCAAGGTGATGCAAAAGCAAGTTGCCTTGTGTGGTGGAAGGTCTTTGTCCCCGTTGTGCAGATAGTGATTGATGAAAATATTGGTAGTTGGCTTTGCCAGGCTATGGCTGGGACATAATAGCCAAGATTGGGATGCACCTGCAGGATGGTGGGGCACTTAAATAGCCCCACAGCAAAAAAAAAGGGGAAAAAACCAAAAAGATGCACAAAAAACATCATTTGGGGATGAATGGGTGAAAGGTTCCCTGTCAGGGCTGGAGGTGGACTCTGAGATCCTGCTCGGGATGGGAGGTGCAAAGGTCGTGCTGATGTTGGAGCACACGGGCTGCAGTCCCTGCTCTGGCACTGCTGCACGTGGCCAGGAAGCTGAGGGATGCCCAGCACCAAAAATAGAGAAGCTTGTCAAGGTAGAAAAGAGCTTATCTTCCTGTGGAGAGAAAAAAACCCAATGGAACAATACATGGGCTTGTTTGAAGAGGGTTTTGGGTTGCCAAGGCTGCTCTGTTTTAGGCTCTGCTCTCTAGTATAAGCCCACAGAGCCATTCTAGAGACTGACTATTATAAATTAAATCCCTTAATTATGCTGTAGTATACCAGGAAAATGATTTGCTTGTGTATGTAGTGATTTTTCACTTTCCCTGGGGAGGTGAAAATGAGCATTATGCAACAGCTTAGGCATTTTTCAGAGTATTACCCTCTCTCCAACACAAGTATGTTAAAAAAGTCTTTGGGTTTGTTTGTATTAGGACATTGTCCTAGAGCCAAGCAGGTGAAGTCTTCAGTCACTCAAAACCCACACAACACTCTTGCATTTATCTATCGAAACAGGACGAGCCCCGTGGCAGGGAGGAATGATGAGGAGGACTCCATCTTATCAGAAAGCTAATTAATTACTTTATTATACTATATTATTCAATATTATATTACACTATGTTCCATTACATCTAAACTGAATCTGCCAAGCTTTCAACTGCACACAACTGCAGAGAATTTTGTGACTGTCAGCTGGCAGTCCTGACACAAACACACACACACACACACACACACACACTTGGGCTTGATAGGCCAAGGAAACAACACCATCACTTTGGGTAAACAGTCTCCATATTGCATTCTACTTTTGCACAAACACAGGTACAGCGAATGATAAGAATTGCTTTTCCTTTCTCTGAGGTTCAGAGAATGTGAAACCCAATAAATATTCTCAGGAAGAATTGTGCCTTGCTTTTCTCTGTGGAGGGAAATGTGGCTGCATTTATCCATGGCACTTTTGCATGTTCAATGGTGAGTCTGGTGTGGCATTGCACAGCACAGGTACTGGAGTGTGTGGTGTGCAGGATCTGTTTGTTCCCTGTGGGAATCACAGCAGTGAAATCCTGACGGGCCCAATGCTGTTGGATTTATCTCATGTTTTATTCTGTACACAAGGCCTGCCTGCACCTCCTTTTCCAGCTGTGCTCATAGACAGAGGAAAGGCGGTAATGTCAGAATCTCTGCTGCTCACAGTGACCCCAAGATATGTTAGAAAGTCTCTTTTCCCAGCCTGGCAGTCAAAGAAGGACTCAGAGCTCTTAATTTCTCAGTCTCAAGGTTGTTTATTGTATCTTATCTATAAAATTCTTTCTCCTGTCCTGCTGAGGTCTGCTCAGCAAGACAGACAGAGGCACTCTGCCTGCCCCCAGGGCTGTGTTATCTTTTTATAGTAAAAACTATGTGTACAATGTTCACAATTACTTTCCAACACCTATCACCTATGTTAGACAGTGAGCTTCTACTCTAAACCAATCTAAAAGTGCCAACATCTCAGCAGAAGATGGAGGCCAAGCAGAAGAAGGAGAAAGGCTGGACATGCCCAGATTCCTCCATCTTTCCCCCTGAACCCCCATTCTAAAATCCCCAAAAATCTATTTTTCATCCTGTGATAAATTCACTATCATTCTGCTTAAACTTTTGTGGCTTGTAATTCGTCATATGAGGTTGGTAATTGTTTTTTCCAAGGGCTAAATCACAGGCACAGGGGTCTTGGGCTCAGTGCCAGGGTCTCTGAGCCCCCTGGGCAGGGGCTCGAGCCCTCCAGGGCAGCCAGAGGAATGTCCTGGGTTCCCACACGGTAATTCCTCCCTTTGGTGTTTCCCAGGTCGCTCAGAGCTGGTTCTGATGTCAGCAGAAGGCTGCACCATCACGGTTCGCCTGGTGCGCTCCTTCCAGCACCGCAATTTCCGGCCCCTGGTGTTCCACGGCGTCCCCTTGGAGCAGACGGTGCGGGAGTTCATGGCCTTCGTGCGCCAGGGTGAGCCCTGCCTGCTCCTCTGCCTGCTCCAGCCCCGAGTGCTGCTGTCCCTCCACCTCCTTGTGGAGCAAATGCGTGGGGATGGCTCTGGTGGAGGTGCCAAAATCGTGTTTGCATCCCCCGTGTGCTTTCCTTCCTTAGATGAAAGGTCTGGAGTTAAGGAGAGCTTCCATGGTCAGTGTGCCACGCTTGGGTTTGGCTGGACTGCTCCCCCATGCCAAATCCCCACTGTAGGAGCCTCAGGGGGTGGGACAGACAGAGATGAGAGATCTCTGCAGCCAGGTGGTGGAACTTGGGGTTTATTGCAAAGGGCCTGGGAGCAGGGCCCTGCTGGGAGCTGCCAGCCACAGCTGGAGCAGGCCCGAGAGAAGTGTGACCGTGTTCACAGGGGTCTGAGGATGAGGGAAGGGATGAGGATCTGGCTCCATGTTTCACAAGGCTTGATTTATTATTTTATGATACATATTATATTAAAAGTGTACTAAAAGAATAGAAGAAAGGATTTCACCAGAAGACTAGCTAAGAATAGAAAAGGAAAGAATGATAACAAAGGCTTGTCGCTCAGACTCTCTGTCTGAGCCAGCTCACTGTGATTGGTCATTATTTAGAAACAACCAACATGGGCCAATGAAAGATCCACCTGTTGCATTCCATAGCAGCAGATAATCAATGTTTACATTGTGTTCCTGAGGCCTCTCAGCTTCTCAGGAGGAAAAATCGTAAGGAAAGGATTTTTCATAAAAGATGTCTGTGACAGAGAAGAGAGGGGTAGAGAGGATGAGAGAGTAAAAGGGTAAGAGAGTGAGGTTCCTGTTACAATACAATAAATCTTCTTCTGTGTTGAATATTCTGATTCTCACTAACCAATCTAGTACAAGATACAAATCCTATAGCATCTGCATACAGCCTATAAGAATCACTACATTACCATAATGCGTTACATTTTAAACCCTAAAAACTAATCTTTGGACCCCATCTGCCAATCTAGTAGGGTCTGCTCTGACCTTTGGACCTGCCTGCAAGCAGAAGGAATTGTTTGATCAAAAGGGGATTACCTTCAGCTGGCCACACCATTGTTTTCCACTTGTTCAGTAACTAAGGGATCTCAAAGCTTGTTTTCATTTCAATCTCACTTACAGTTTCTATATTCTCAAAATCTTTTGCCAGGCAATCATATTTATAAGGCTTTCCTGTTTCATCTTCCCCAACACCCACATTGAGTCTAAAAGAAACAAAGGCATTACTGCATTTGGCTCAGTGCCTCAGGCTCCTTGAGGGGTGCTGTCAGGCAAATATTCATCAATTAATAGGAATAAATTAATAGAATTTAGAAAGTCTTTGAGCCTAACTATGCAAATATGTGGAATGTGGGAATGCAAGTCTGTTTGCTATTTGTGAGAAAAAAGAATCTTGAAAATTTGTTTTTGACACTGTGTGGTCTCACAGTACATGTTTGTTTCCGAGTTTCTGTCTCCATCCTGAGCTTTGTGGTGCAGATTTACTCATCTGTGGGCTTTCTCTTTTATAAGCCTGGTTGAAAGTGACAGTGAATCTAAAAGTTAAGTACTGTAGACCAGCCCACACAGTGACTTGATCATTAGGGTGTTACCCTTAATCCTGCAGGTGTATTTCCACACACCTCAATGGAGACATTCAAAGGGTACAAAATAACATAATTTGTTTGTTTTATTTTGGTGGTTTGTTTTTTTTTTTTTTTTCTTCATGAAGTCAGCTTAAACAAGTCTTGAACTGTTATATTAGGTAATATTTGAGCAACTCCTAGGACATTGCCCTGGGACTCGTGGGTGTCTTGTGTTTGGCAATTTCCATACTTCTAGACAGTGATAGGCATGGCAAGGTCTTGGGATGCTGTTGGAACACTGCAAGCACTTTCAGAACATATGGCACAGCTGCTGTTATGGACAAGAAAATAAAAAACAATGCTAGGAAACTTGCTTTTGATGTGTGCAATATTGCAACTCACTGTTATTTGAGACAAAGCCAATGCTTTAAGCAAGACTTAGTACCCTGTTCCACAGGGGTGCAAAAGCTTTGTTCCTTCCTTTACAGTTTTGAAGAGGCAGTTTAAGATAAATGGTTAAACTACTGAAGAAATCAAGGCTTCAGCCACCTTGCTGCTGGGCACCCCGCTGGTGGCTGGGCCTTCTGAGTCTCCTGGTTAAGTCACAGGGAGCACTGGCACCAGGGCAGGTGTCAATGTCCCTGCAGTTACCTATGGGCTGTGTCCTGCAAGCAGCTGAAGAGTTAATTTTCTACAGCTTGGCTTCCTTTTGTGGTGCGGTTACCTGAGGATTCAGTTCTGGGTGACAGTTGGCAGCTGTTTGTATAAGGCAAAGAGAGATGCTGGGCAAACCATTGAAAGGATGTTGCTGGCAGGTTTCTGAAGGATCAGACTCCTGTGGTCACACCCTAATTGCACTGACTCACTGTCCTCGTGGGGTGTTTTGCTCAGAGAGGCTTCATGCTCAAATGAACTTGTTCACATATGGAGTCACTATAGAATCTGGGCCAAAGGCTGTCTTTTAGCATTTGATGCTCAAACAAGTCTCCTATGTTGCAGATTTATTTTGACTGAAAGGCTGCCCAGGGGATGCATACATTGCACAATAATAGAAAATGAAGGATTGGAAATAATTAAGAAAGGAACTTTGTCTTAACTTTGTGCTTTTATTTTAATAGATGTTTCTTCAAGATCAGGACTTCCTCCTCCTTTTAAAAATTACAAGTATGGTAGGTGGTTTTTATTTTTCTTGTTGTAATTGCCATCAAATGACCACATGATATTTTACACCAGCATTTCTACAACATAAAAGATAATTGCTGTACAATACTAATGTTGGTGCCAGTGCCTGCCTACATTTGCAACTCTGTCAGCTCTTGTAGCTGGAGTTATGCCACTAGGATCTTGTCTGCAGAACTTGACCATTATTGTGAAAATCTGTTTTAATCTTTGAATTAGGCTGCATGGTTTACATTATTTGCTATTGGTAACTGATGGGTTTTGATTTTAATTTTTTATTACTTTTTTAAAGTGCCTTTTAACTCTGTCTTTACCCTAATGACCAGCTTGTGGTCACAAAACACTTTGAAATTGTAGTTCTCTGTCTGCTCATGTACTTCAGTATCTATTTACTGATGGTGAGGCAGAAGCTGAAGGCAAAAAAGTAGAAAATGCTCAAGTCTTATATACTTAAATAGCTTACACAATATCAGAGAAACAGGGGAACTTTGCTCCAAATAGTTATGAAAGCTCTTAAATACAAGCTGGTGGTATGAAATAGCATGATGTGAAATTTAAGCTGACTTTATCAAAGCTATATTTATATTTCCTTTTTGTGCAGATTGTTGTGAACATGTACAATTTATCTGCTTGGGATAGAGAAAACTTTTTAGACAGACTGCGTTACTTCCTTTCTTGGAGTTTGTAAATTTGGGTGTCAGTCACATATCTTCTCCTAAACTTGGCAATTCTCAAAGTTCCCATGGAGTTTTTCTACAAGTGATCCTCTGTGTCCCATGTTCTTGGAGTTGACAAACTCCTTCCTCTATGGTCATTCAAAGAACTGAGTGAAAAATCTACTTAATATATGTGAAGGGTAATAAACTCTATTTGCCTATTAAAACAAACAAACAAACAAAGATTTCATTTTGTGCTCTTGCTGATGGTGAAACACAGAGTGCAAATGGAAACTAGAAAAAGAGTTAGGGATTAAGACTGATGATACATCAGTGGCAGGGACTTGAATGTTTTTATAATTTTTAATGTGTTACTTAAGGTCATAACATCTGGAAGTGTAAGTTTGAATTTGGAGGTGCCCTTCACCCCATTTGTGGCTTTGGCTGTTTGAGGGGTTCCTGTCTAGAACTGCTGCTCTCAGTTGTATCCCTGGTGCTGCCTATCCCAGCTGCTTCTTTCATCACTTGGAGATCAGTTTAGCTTTTCCCAAGACATATCTGGTGGCTGAGGGCCTGGTTGTGCCCTGTAGGACTGAGCATAACTTTAAAACCTGTTGCACCAGTTACTGGGAGCCTGCTCTTACTGTGCTGGTGCTAACTGCAGGAAAATTTTCACACAGGAAAATCAAAGACAGGTTCCTCACCTTCCCCTCAGGCTGTGAATCATCCAGGTTCCTGTTTTTGGCATTTCTGCTATCTCTACAGTGCTCTGCTGTCTTTCCTGTGTTTTTGTGAGGGAAGGGCAGTGAGACTTCAGCAGCAAAAGCCAGAGTTTTTCTCCTGTTTTGTTTGGCAGTGCCAGAAATCTCAGTTGGATCTGGTTGTCTCTCGCTGTGCCTGTTTCAGCTTCCTTCCCTGCAGAATTCAGCACCACTTTGTTTTAACATCATACATAATGCCATCACATTTTTGCTCTTGGATCAGTGCTCCAACTCACATCTCAAAGCTTCTGACTTCCATTTTCTCTTCATTTCTTTGTATGGATTATTCTGGTTCTTGGTCTAGAACTTTTTCTGAGTTAGTCTTATCTTAGCACCTTGTCACCTTTTCACACCACAGTACCTTTTCAGTGATGCTGGCAGTCTGGGTGCCAGCTTGTTCCATAAGCTGCTTCTCAGTTTTATTTCTTTCATCCATGAATGTGGAGCAGTATGCCTGGTAGTTCATAAAATCACTTAGAAAGTGGTATCTTATCAATTGCCATGATAGACCTATCATCAGAAAAGGCAAGATAAAAACTTGGCAGTTTTCAAGTCCCTGCCACTGATTGAGTGGGGATGAAATAGCAAAGGCCAGTCAGAGGATTTAGCTTGTGGGAAGGGATTATAGTTTAATCTCTGTAACAGAGTTAAAGAAGCCGTTTAATAGCTCAGATGAGCCCATGGTAAACTGCTGGGTGCCAGTGGTGGAGCTCTGAGCCAGTAGAACTGAGACAATGCTTCAGGATATGACTGGACAAGGACTACAGAAAAGGGGAAATATCAAAGTGGACAGAGGAGCTTAAAACTAAAGCACAGGCTGGGTTTATTTGCTGTAGTAGAAAGGTTTCATGATTGCAAAATATTTTTTCTGTGATTGCTTGGCTTTTTTGTAATGTTTCTATGCAAGATGGCTCCTGGTAATTGCAATTTAATGTCTGTCTTGCTTCTAATACCACAGTTATTACAACATGCCAGGGCTGCCTTCTCTGCAGTGAGAATACAGAGTGCTTCTTACCTTTTGTAATGTTTTAGATAGTGTTCAAAGTGGGCCAGAATGGAATGGAAGCAAACTTCTGAGTGGGAATGTGATCTCTGTTATTCTGAACATCTGAATACTTGCTCCTGGTGATTTGAAAGTTGGTTGAGCCAATAGTTCATTTTGCTGCATCCTTCTCTTACCAGACTATTGCAACATGTAGTGTTCACTCAATGCACAAAACTAAATTCGAGCAGAAAATGAGCAGACAAGCAGAACTGGTTTTTCTTCTTTGCTGGGAAGGTATTGATGTGTTATTCCAGATTTGTTCAAACACAGAGTCTTCAATTATTTTTTTTTATTAGTGTTGCATGGCTTTAAGCTGTTCCCTCTGGATCTTTGCACTCATCCAGTTGCTTTGGTGACTGTGTTATTTTCCCCTGTGTTTCCCTTCTGTTAACAAAGCCCTGCCCTTGTTGCCAGGAGAAAGTGGTACCTTTTTTTTTAATTTCTAAAAGCACTACACAAACGTAAAATAAAAATTATTGAAGAGGGTGTAGCACTACAGAGAAGAGGCTGTAGATGTTCATGCAAAATGAACTTGCTTAATGAAATTTCTGCTGTGGATGGTGGGTGTTGTATACATGAGAAGGAAAATTTCAAGGGATGATCTGAAGTGATCAGGTTACCGCGTCTTAATTACTTGCTGCCTATCAACTTAGCTGTAGCAGTTGACAGTGCATAAATGCTGTTGGTCCTGCCCCAATTGCATGTGTAAAACCTATTAAGTTAAAACACCCTAAGTGGCATTTAAATTGATGTGTTTTGACTGGCAATTGAGATGGTCATTAGTTGGTTATTGTAATTCAGCCAGCAGGCAGAAGCCCAGTCGGTTGTGGTACCTTAATGTTGCATTGACTGCTTCAAGGCTGTGGCCACAGAACTGTGGGATTAAGATGTTTTCTCCCCTTTCAGGTAGAATACACAAAATTGTAAATAACAAAAGATTTTGAAGCTTCCCCCTTTGTTTGTTTGTCTTTCCCGAGTACAACTTTCAGTGTTGTGTGCTTATTAAGCCTTGTTTTAGGAAAACACTGTTTTTTCTTTCAGATACCATGAAGATTATTCACCAAGCACACAAATCTAAGGTAAGATTATTAGCTGTGTTCTTCCCCTTTTGCATGCTTTGATGCAGGCAGATCTCTGCACTGTCAAACAAGACTGGAGCAGAAGAAATTCTTCTTATTTTTGTATTCTGGTTCTCTGATTTATAGACTGGTGAGCTTGTAGTGAGTTTGGAAGATGATGACAAACTGATTTTGAAGGAAGACAGCACGCTGAAAGCAGCTGGAGTAGGTAGGAGTGCATTTGTATTGACTGAAGATGCTGTTCCTTGTGGTAGCATTAAACTGATAGCTGGCTGATTGTGTTTGGACAGGCTGCTGAAAAGTAAATGCTATTTCTGATGCTCTTTACACGACTTGATAATTATTCAGGGAAGCATTATTCAAATCATTGGTCTGAGGGCAGCAGGTATCTGCACTCCAAATGATCAGAATGCAAATTGTGATTTTTAGAGGGTATGCTTATAATTCTGCTGAGAGTAATTTTAAATGATTGACAGATAGGTTATTAGTACTGTGCCTGCTTGGTCTTATCAGTAACATTTAAACTGATGTTTTGGTTAGAAATGTAAGTAGTGGAACCAGCATGGAATAATGAAATAAGATTAGATTTGTTTAATGTGCAGCATACAGTGTCTGATAGCCAGATTGCTCAGGAAAGCTGGAGCATTATCACTTAGAGAATGTGCTGAACATAGCAAAGAGTTGAAACTTGACCTGATTTCTCACATTTTGACAAGAGACTACATATAGGGCATGTCTTTTGGTAATAATGTAAAGAAATGTCTGTCATGATAAAACTGATGGTCCCTGGATGTCCTTTGGGCTTCTCATAAAAGTGGCTGAGTGACTTTGTGGCAGCAGGGTGCTTGGGGGATGTGGTTGCATTCCACCTTGATATGGACATTTGCTCATTTGAATCTGATCTGCCTGCCTGGGAAGCTTGAACTGCCTGAGCTCTGAGTGCAGGGGCTTCACAGAGGAGGCTCCCTCCTGCTCCTGCTGCTCACTGATTGCTCCCCAGCTGCTCAATGGGATTTCTTTCTCTAGGTTGCTTGGCTCTCCTGTTTCCTGTGATTTATTTTCTGGTTTTAAGTGACTTGGGATGTCTCTTCAGTGTTTTTCTCTGGTTCCAATATACCTTTCCTAAAGGTCTTTGAGTGTTCCTGTAATATGAATCATAGTTTTTACTACACACCAGGTCTTCTTGTCTGCAGGAAGGGGAAAAAAAAAAAAGAAAAAAGAGGATTACTGGCACCCAAGCCTTGCAGATTTGTAATTTAGTTAGCAAAAGATTAATTTAATCATGATCTTTATCTGTGTAAGGCATAAGAGACAGTGCAGTTCAGGAGAGGGACTGATGACAGTGCCAAATGTTGAATTAGAAATAACAAAGCTGTCTTCTTTCAAAAAGGTATGGATGAGTATTTGTATATATTATCTGCCTTTGAACTGGGTTTGTAGCTACAGCAGTGAAACAGTTGGATCTCAAAAAGGTGTCAAAACATCAGACTAAATGTTACACTGAAAGGAAATAGGAATGCAGCAGCCTGTTCTGTGTCTCTGTACAAAGGGAGGGGTGGTTCATTTAGGGCAGAAAATAATTTAAAGCTTTTTTTTTGTTTATTTTTTTCTGAATAACAGCAGTTAGTCATTAGAATATAGAGGATATTTGTGATAGAAGAGGAAAACCCATTCTTTGGAAAATGCAATGTGCCATTATGCCATTTTGAATTTGGATATGTTCCAGTGTATCTTGACATGAAAATTAGCTAAGTTAGGAGTGAGGTTTTTGTAGTAAAATCTTGAAGATTTTACTTTTCTCCTTCAACAATAAGTAGAAAAGAGTAAGCCAAGGAAGTGATATCATGAATCATGTACCACTGGTTCTCATTTTGTACAAAACAATAAATTTTGTACATTTTCTTTAAACCAGTAAGAAGATTTGAAATCTCCTATTGAGATATTATTTCTTTTCAACATCTAGTCTGGACAAGACTTACTAGAATAAAACAATCAGAATCACCCTTAGAAATTCTGGGAAATTCTGATACATGCAGAACAGTTTTCCTAAGCTGCAGTTGATTGCCCTTGGCACTTTACAGGGTTGGGCTAGAGAGTTCTAAATGATGAGGACATTAGATAAGTATCCTCAGGAAAGCCTCTGTAGTAGTGATTATTATTACAGTTATTATCCAGTCAGCAAAGTTAATGCTTGCAGTTTTTTTTTAAAGCAGGGTGTATGTTAATAAAGTGTTCAGTATTCATTACAAATAGTCTCATCTGTTTTCTAGTTGAGATTCTAAAATCCCTTCTACTCTTTTTTGTTTCTTTTTTTTCTTTTTACAAGACAGGCAGACTTCATTAACTTGAGGTTTAATTTAAAAAACGAATGTGGAATTTATTGGCTCAGCGCCTTAAAGAATTTCATGTTTAATAATTGTGAAGGCATTCCATCAGATTTGTCTCTGTTCTGAATTAGTAATGTTGCTGACTTACTGTTTTAGAAGAGGAAGTCCTTGACCTACTGGGTTGAAAGAATTGTGACTGTTCTGAACCTTTGTGGGTCCTTTAGCTCTGCCATATCCCCTGTGAATAATTAGAGGTATTTGAAGGTATTGCTGGAGAAGCCAATTTGTGTCTTTCACTTTGCATATTGTCGAAGCCTCATGAATTAATCATCAGCAGGGCAAAAAATTAACTTCTTCAGACACATATTTTGATGGGTCATGAGGGAGAATGTAAAGTGATCTGTAAAATATTCTACTGATCCTCTAAGTATTAAATTATTATACCTACAGGCTAATTTAATGAGAAAAAGAAGTTTCTTTCTCCCTTTCCTAACAGAAAAATGCACAAAAAAGAATGTATCACGCTTCATTACTTTCCTAGCATTTGAGGGTGTTAGAAATGCCATCACTTAATTTGCTGAATGTTTTTACAATTCAGCAGACTGTGTTAAACAAATCTGGAGGGGTCTTGTGTACATATTTCCCTCTATACATTCATGTTCTTGGTGGTTTTGTTTGTTTGGGGTGTTTTTTAATGAGATTTAACAATCTCTTTAATACTAGCAACATTTTTCAAAAATATTATGAGGAAGAAAAAAAAGTGGGTGGTGATTTATAATTGTCTTTGACCATAAAGTTGCTAATTGTCCCCTAAAATTCTAAATAGCTGGCTGTTGGTGGTTCATTTACTGGTGTGCTAAATATTTAATTTTTTATTTCTTCTAGAAAATGAGACGGAATTAGCATTCTTCTGTGAGGAAGATTACAGAAACTACAGAGCTAATCCTGTTTCGGCCTGGTGAAGATCCCAAGAGATTGTTTTGTTTTCCCATACCTGTTGTAAATTTTCCTTATTCTGCTTAATGAGATTTTTCTTAAAGATCAATAAATCCTAGAGGATTTCTTTGCAAACAGTGCAATTCCCTTCCTATAGAAATTAATTTCTGTCAATATGGTAAGGCTGAGAGAGGAAAAACTGGGGGACGTGAATGACTTTTTTCTTCCTCCCTCTTTTGTTTGCTGTGCTTGGCTCTTGAGCCTCAGGCAGTGCCATCCCTGAATGTGACACAGGTTCTTGGTGTGATCCCACAGCACACAGTAACTGCATGTGGAGATTATAGAATGCACAGGATGATCCCATCACAGTACTAACTTCTAATGAAAATGAAGTGAAACCTCCTGCAAATGAAATGAAATGTTTTATGACCAAATCGCTGGGTATTTTAAAGAACTCGAGAAGAGAATCTCTCTGTTTCCAGTCACAGCTTTACTTCTCTCATTTTATGTTTGGTCTCTTTTGTTTAAATAGTGCAGACTGGCGGGTGTTTCATGCTTTTCAGTGGTGAATGCTCTCCATTATCCTATCTTCCAGCCCTCTTTAGCATGCTGAAAGGGACAAATGTCTGCTGGGAGGCTTTTGTGTGCACAGACCAGCTCGCCTGTTTCTAGCTTCACTTCATGGAGCCACCTCCACACGGGGGTAGCAGCTCCAGTTCTGCCAGGCCATCACTGTGCCTAAGTAGGGATTGGGCATTTTTCCAAGTGGAGTGAAAGCTCATGGGTTCAGTTTTAAGAATAAAACCTGAATGATTGCATTTTTTGCAAGGAGAGGCCCAGCCTGTGAGCCACATGTCTTCAAGACTGGAATTGATTCCTTTGTGCTTTCCATGAGCCAAATACTCTGTTGCTATGTGTTTGTTCTTGGTGATGCTGGCCTTTCCTACTACATGGACCAAATTAAGAATAATAGAAAACAATCATGCGTCCCATAAGGTAGACATCACTTATGAAATGCTTTTAGGGGGTACCTACATGGGACACTGTGCCTTTAAGCCTCCCCTCACTGAAAGAGGAGTGATGCTGGCTCTCTGCCTTAGCAGGATTTTTGGGCTCTGCTGAATTGAATGAGACCTCACATGCAATTGCTTTAGACCCACACATCTCTGCTGAGCTCTGGGTGAGGGCTGACAATGCTATAGCCGTGAGAACTTCCTGGAGGAGTAACCCTGCCATTTCCTAGAGCTTTGATTATTGTTTTTATTGACATGTGTGGCTTCCAAAGTATCTAAGTAGAATTTCCCTTTGTTTTAGATGTAGGGCCAAAGAGCCCTCTGTGTATTGTTCCCACCTCATTTTCTTCATCCTTACTGACAACTCCCTGGTTTAGGCTGTAAGAAAATTGGGAAATTTAGTGACTACAAGAAAATGGCCTGGGATTATATCAGGTGCAGTGCAAAGGACCAAAACAGGCCAAAATTAAGCCTACAGATGTTGCAAAAGCAGGGGATAAAGTCAAGGAGGAAGACACAACTTGGAGGAGAAGATATGAGGGACATGGCATGGATACTTAAAAAAAAAAAAAGAAAAAAATCTTGCCCAAAGTCAAAGCCATCAAAAGGCAGGCCATATGCCGTCAAATGCAGGGACATGCACCAAAGATTCCCCTATTGGTCCCCATTGAAATCGCAAGATTTCGTTTAATTTCCTTTCGGGAAGGGAAAAGGAATCTTGCGAACCCGAAAAGAAAGGCTTACAAACACTCTGGAAAGGAGATAGGATCAAATGAAATGCAATTGAAAAAAACCCCAAAAAAACCCAGAAAATCGGGAGATTTAGTGTCTTCACAAAATGGTCTGTGAGGAAATGAGCTGCGGTGCAAAGGACCAAAAGAGGCCAAAACTATAATCTCACAGATGTTGCAAAAGCAGGGGAAAAAGTCAAGGAGGAAGACACAACTTGGAGGGGAAGATATGAGGGACATGGCATGGATACTTAAAAAAGAAAAAAAAAATCTTGTCTAAAGTCAAAGCCATCGAAATGCAGGCAGGCCATATGCCATCAAGTGCAGGCACATGCACCAAAGTTTGCCAAAATTGATCCCCACTGAAGACCAAAACAGAAAAGAAGGACTTACAAACACTCTGGAATGGAGATACCATCAAAGGAATTGCTATTGGAGGAGAAAAAAAGAAAATTTTGCATTATGCATGCCCTGATGAATTTGTGAGGAGAATTTACCTCTTGCCTTCTTTTTCTGTCCAGGCAGCCTCTCTGTTTGTGGTGCCTGCTCCCCAAACATGGGCCCACGTTCAGCGCTCTTACAGTCTGTCATGTTTGCAGATTTATGTGGTTGATACAAGTTTTGCTCATCTTCTCAGACAGTTCAGGCTGATGCATTGCACTCCAGACTATCTCATCTTTGTTCAGCCAAATTTACAGTAAGGAAGGGAATTTTGTAAGAACAGATAGTGTACCAGAGACATCAGTGTGTCAGGCTGGCTTGCCAAGGCATCTAAATGGTGTCTGTCAGCACATGCAGGCTCTCACACTGAGCATGACTGAGTTTGGTCTCCAGCCCTTCCAGACAGATTTGGATTAGTTTTGTGATCTCTTTTCTTTAAAGCATTTGTGTTTGAAAGAGTCACCACATTTTAACAATTGTCCTTTCTGGGCTTGCACAGTTCCAAACCTGCAGTGTCACATCAAGTGTGGTACAGTGGAAGAGCAATTCCACAGCATCAGGGAGGAAAACTGTAAATGTTCTACTGCAAATAGTCAAGAATGGATGTGACTGGCACTCCAGATTAACTTCTCTCTCCAAGGGAAGAGTTAAACTACTGCTTTGTGAGCTCAGTTCACTCTGGCAATGGCACTTCATTGGCTTCTTTCTCCAGCAGCACAGTGGAGCCTTTTGTAATGGTCTCAATGGCCATACTTGTAAACTGGTTTCTTCCTGAAGTGTTTTTCTACTGTGTTTATTTATTTATTTATTTTAGATTTTTTTTGGTGACTTTCAGTAATGCTTCTTTCTAGTAAATCCCACAAAACCACAGATAATAACTGAAAACTTGTTAGGAAAGATGCTGTTCCAGCTTTTTTTTTTTTGTTTTTTTGGTGGGGTAGGCTACAGCCTTGTATCAAAGTATGTTTGGTTCCAGGATTGAGTACTGAATGAAATCTCTGAACAACGCTGGCTAATAAATCAGTAAAAACTGAGATGTCTTTGCCCATGTTGTTTTGAAATCCTCTTTCTGTAGAAGGAAATCACAGAGCCAGTACTGTGGTTTGTTATCCTGGCAGAAATCATGAGCTGCATTGGTTTTCAGCTGCTTTTAATCAGAGCTGCAGTGGGGTAAGTCATACTGCTTTGCCAGTGGTCTTAGGCATCGTGGGGTTAATGAGGATTCCTGTTACAGTGGGATGTTCTTGGAACCATTCACCATTTTTTGTTAAACAAAAGAGCAATGTCCAGAGAGGGGTCTGAAGTTAGATAAAATTTATCCTGGGTATTTACACTGCAGTAGGGAAAGGCAGTCAAACTGGAACCCTGGGGTGCTGTGTCAGGCTTGGCTGTTTCTTGGAGAAAAGAATCACTTCAGAGAGACTGGAGTTTTGATTAGGAGGTGTGAAAGCTGAAGAAGAACAGAGAAAATTTTGAAAGAAATTATCATGAATAGGAAGAAGACATAACAGTGTAAGTAAATAAACAGCAAAATTTGTATGTGCAACACTCTTGGTGCAGAGATACCAGAGCAGTGCTGCTTTCTGTAGAGCTACAGGTATAAAAATGGTGCTTTTTCATAATTTTGGAACTGACTTAATGAACTGCTCCAATAGGCATCTTGTTTTTTCTGGCTTTGTCACATTAAACTTTCTGCATCCAACAGTTTTAATGATTTTTTCTGCCCAGAGGTAGTTCTGTTGCCTTTTGAAGAAGCAAGGGTTAAGAAAAATCTGCTGACATGGACAGCTGAGTTGACCAATGGCATAAAGGAGAACTCAAAGATCAGATAAGCACCACTTTTACAGTTAACTGATTTATCTGATGTAAACATTGCGGCTTAAAGGTGATCCAGAAATACATTGTAAGCTGTGGTGTTTCTCCTTCTCTCCCTGGCAGTATTTAACATCCCCTGACAGATCACTTATTTAAAAATGAGCCTGCAAGTAGCAGTCCAAGAGTTCCCACAGCCACGATGGGACATCCATGGCCTGTCCTTGGAAAATAACAGCCACAGAAATCCAGAGTGTCCAAAGATCAAGAAGATAAAACCAGAGCATAGGATGCTCATTCTCGGTCTCCTGTGACTGATGGGATCCCAGATACAGAGTGGGCAGATGACTGGAGGCATCACAAAAGCCTGAGGCAAATGCACATTTTTGTTTATTGAACAGCTTGGACTGAGCTCAGGCTTCCTGGCTGGCAACTGATCCCCCTTCCCTGGCTTCCCTTCCATAGAACTGCTTGGCACAGATTTGCAAGTGATTAATGAGTCCAGGAACGCCCAGTAGACAACTTTTGTTGCTTTTCATTTTTTCAGGATATTGACTTTACTCCCCATTTCCTATTGAGTCAGACGCAGACACCGCTTCAAACGTTTCCCCAGCCACTTCCCTTTGCTTCTTGCTGCCACTTGTGGTTTGCAGTGCCTTAATGGTGAAGTTTGCACCTCATCTGATATGCAATAGCAGCGTTTCCTGTGGCAGCGAAGGTACACTTTTTAAAATTTGTTCATGAAAAAATATGCTTTGATATGGAGACTTTTTCTACACTGTAGCTAATAGTGCACAACGAAGGCTCTTTTCTTGCTTTGCAGCAAGGCTTGCACTGCAGGACAGCACTGTCCCCCAGTCAGTGGAAACAAAAATGTTTTTATCATAATGGTTTGAATCTTGTAAGGAAATGAAGGAGTTACATCAGGAAAGAAAAAAGAAAAGAAAAGAAAAGAAAAGAAAAGAAAAGAAAAGAAAAGAAAAGAAAAGAAAAGAAAAGGGCAGTGAAAAGCCAAGACCTATTGCCACGAACTCTGCCTGCAGAGAAAGCCACCAGATGTCAGCACAGCCTGTTCTTTGCTTCTCTAAAACCTCTGCAAGCCAAGACAAGTGTCATGTTTATGAAAAGTGCTTATCTGTGAACTGGTTTAGCCTGTGAAGTCTGTGCTAGGGTTCTGGTGATGAAAGCTGAGTCTTTCCTTGCAGAAAGTATTTCTTTTCATATTAAAATCAAAAAGCGGCAAATTGAACTGGTCTCAGTGCTTAAATTCCTCTTGTTAGAGAGCATCCTTTGCAGAGCCGGTTCTCAGCGTATCTAAATCTTTGCATGCTGTGAAGAGGCATTTGCAGAACATTCATTTGAAGAATTGTCTGGAAAAGATCAGTGTTAATTTGCCGAGGTTTTGTAAAGTAGATTTTAAGTATGCCTATTTTTTTTAAACACAAGGAAAACCATCTGGAACAGGCACATATGCAAAGCAGAGCAAAACATCTTCGGCAACACAGCTTAAACACA